CTTGGGCTTGCACAATGGGTAAGGAAAGGGAATAATTGACTTGGCCGCGGGTTACTCTGTCTGTGTGAGCGCAGTCACGGCGAAGGGAGAACATGTCAGAGAGGAGTGAACTGCAGATATTGTGGATGCAACGGAACACGAAGAATATGGACTTAGTATGATATCTTTTGTCTAAGCTAATTATGTGGTATCGCTCAAGCAAGTATGATGTCCGCGTGAATGTGTCATGCTCAAATATGCATCTAAGGGCTCTCTTACTTATGCGTAGCAGCTGATCTCTCACATTGTCAGCGAGGCAGTGGACATAGGCAGTGCTGGCGTACTCGAGCTTGCTCTGGACTACTGACAAGTAGAACTGCCTTCTGGCCTGGACAGCAAGGTTCCTCCTTCCACGTCGAAAAGCACCTAGTTTCTTTCCGATGTCTTCCCTGAGGGAGTTAACGTGGGCACTGAAACTTAAAGTTGAATCGAGAGTCAGTCCTAGTTTCTTTTATTAGTATTATTTTCTTTGCTTTCGCTTTCTTGTTATTGGGCAACTTGCCCGTTAGAATCTGCGAAGTAAAATAAACAACAACAACAACAACAACAACAACAACAACAACAACAACAACAACAACAACAACAACAACAACAACAACAACAACAACAACAACAACAACAACAACAACAACAACAACAACAACAACAACAACAACAACAACAACAACAACAACAACAACAACAACAACAACAACAACAACAACAACAACAACAACAACAACAACAACAACAACAACAACAACAACAACAACAACAACAACAACAACAACATGGACATACCGCCGGTATATCCATGTACCGCAAAAGTACAGCCATCCACAATGATTATGACTTATGTGCAACACATGCACACTCATGAAACAGTCCACACGCATGATCTATGACATGACTACAATGTACAATGATTATGTAGTCATGCATTTACGGATTGATGCTTTGTCATCTTCAGTCACACAATCATACACCACTACCATGACTACGCGACAAAGTAAACAAATGGGTAGTGCGTATAAGATGGAGTGGCTACAGAGTACAGACGTTGGGCTTTGCCCTCGTCCGAGCAGCTGCCGCTGCCATTCGTGGTCATCGACGTCCAGCCTCTTCCTCTGCCGTTGATCAGAACCGGTCAGCAGCTTTGGCTGTTGCGCAGTGTGGCTTGGCGTTGTGAGAACGGTAACTACTTGCACTGTGTCCCCATTGTGTACATGATTGTACTTCCTGTGAATGATATCCGTCTTTTCTTTTCTCTATTAAAATCTCTTTACCAGGCGTGGCCCTGGGCCATCCCCTGGACTATCAAAACGGGTGCCTTATTATTTTTCTGTTTCTGTTTTCATGACAGTCCACTCGATCCCTTCCGAGAACTACAGAGTACAGACTCAGTGAAGTTAGTTTGGACACCGTGAGTGCAAGTGATTGTGAGGAAAGGGAGTCTGCATGCACACCCTGAGGAAAGATACCACATCTGACATACATGTACATGTACATGTACATGACAATGATGTCCATGACATGTACATGTAGTACTACTAGTACATATACAATCATTGTAGAATGTATTTCCACAGACTGAAGGCTGAAGGCTGCGGCTGCCTACATACATGTACATGATTGTACATGCAATTCAGTGTTAGATTGACAGCATGAAACAAGGTGGAGGACACTGTGTTCGGAAACAGTGACCTTACTACAACCATCCACGGTTGGGAGAGCCCTGGTCCATTGGGACCATTTGAACCATAATTATGGGTATCGCACCTGGTTCTGCCCTCATTATGCTAGGGGGTTAGGGGTCGTCCGCAATTATCGAAAGTTTTTTCCAATCCGTAGTAGCTTCGAAAGTGGGTGGGTGGGTCAAGGCCAGTTTAAACTTCCGAAATGACACGTGCGCGTGCCACGTGTACGTCTACGTGTAGCCCCTGTTTTCCACGCGCGGCTGCGCGCGAACTGTCTACTACAAATATTTTTGTAGTTCTGGCAGTTTCTGCGCCCCCGCGCGCGCTTCCTTGGCTGCTCCTGGGCCGGGGATCATAAAGTTCGGCGCTATGTTTGAGTTTCACTGTCTCCTTCGTCCAGAGTAGAGAGTCTCGTACCGTCTTCCATGCACTCCTTTGAAGGCCTTCCGTCTAGCGCTGGCGCTGACGACTGTTATTGACTATGTACATGTCCAGACAGGCGACGTTGTTTGGAAAGGCGGTGAAGAAGCAGCCCTTTTTCAAAACCGCTGGTGACTCTGATTATTACTGAACAATAAATTGCTTGTGGCAGTTGTCCAAGACGACGAACAAGGATGCATTCTTTGTCGTAATACAATACATGATGTCACTATGACTCATGGACCAGCACTGATTGAGTTTGTTCCAGATGTGTTGGGTTGTGTGTCCATCAATAATATTATATTACGGACTGGGGGGGGGGGGGGGTGGGTGGGTGAGGAAAAATTTGAAGCTACTACGGATTGAAACTCGGGTATTGAGCCAATAATAAAAGTAGAAAGGAAAAGGACATATGGAAACGAGTTAAGAGTAACTCTCCACCACTGTAACTAGATACTATATACAGTCAGAAAGTGCAACAACTAGGCACAAAACTGACAGAGTACTGAGACATTCGACGTCCTGACACCTAGCTTCAACACATCTCCGTAACGCTAACCGACAGCCTTCCAACTTGGAAGGTTCAAGGTTATGGAAAGACCAAAGAGGGGAAGGCAAGCGCAACGAAAACGAGCACAAGCTACAGTCCCAACGGAACAAAGAATGTCGATTGTCACTGGACGATGACGAGACCAGTAGGCGATTTGACAAAGCGGTCTAACTACAATTCGAAGCAGCAAAGCAGCACACCACCCAACTTGGGTGGGTCAAAAATATCAAAGATAAGTTAAGAAGGGGGAAGCTTTGCGAGAACGAATTGTACAAGCCGAAATCTAAACTCCTACAGTACTCCTCATGCATGACATTGTGATGGACTAGTTGACTACAAAACAAGTTGTTTCACACGACGTACGTTTCGCCGTATGGTTCGTGACGGCTCATCAGGTGTGCAATTTGAAACTCGGGTATTCCAAGTTGGAAGGCTGTCGGTTAGCGTTACGGAGATGTGTTGAAGCTAGGTGTCAGGACGTCGAATGTCTCAGTACTCTGTCAGTTTTGTGCCTAGTTGTTGCACTTTCTGACTGTATATAGTATCTAGTTACAGTGGTGGAGAGTTACTCTTAACTCGTTTCCATATGTCCTTTTCCTTTCTACTACGGATTGGAAAAAACTTTCGATAATTGCGGACGACCCCTTAGGAGATTACTCCTGATGTTGTCTTGTTTTCTTCGCTCTTTTCTTTAATTTTGAGAGCCGACCCATACTTGAATGTGTAGAATTCTACACACTCGACTGTGAGACTTCAACTGGCCGTAACTCGGTCAAAACTAGGTCAAATTCAACGATCCAAATATCTACCTTGAAGAGAAAACTCTCAGCGTGCCGTAAAACCCATCCGCGACGCGCTGCGATCAACGGTTCTTGAGATAAATCGCTCGTAAGTTCAGCCGCGATCGCGGCACTTGAAAAGCGTGGGAGTGCAACTCGAAAGTTGAGAATTTTGAGACTTTTCCTCGCGCTGAGTTACTCTAATTTGCGTGGGTTTCACTGGTAGTATTTCCAAGGGTACACAGCGAAAAAATCGAAACTCTGCGATCAAGAAAAATGAAAATGCTGGAGCAGGACGAAAGTGCACGCATTTCAAGCAGTTTTCGCTAGTTCGCTGCTCTCCGGCGCTGGAGATATGGCGTCCTGGTCATCATGCGTGACCTCAGTCTCTTCCTCTCGCGGAGACCTTTCCAGGAAGCCCAGGATTGTGAAGATTGAGTGAGTAGAACTGAAGTTACGTCCCAAAGAACATGAAAGTATGCAGAATTTTGAAATTTTCAATCGGCTCTCAAAGGAATTAACTTGTATAAGGACTTCTTTTTCTTTTTTCTTCCAACTTCTGCCCATTGCGTTCTTCTCTCAGCTCCTCAACTGTCAACAGTTTTTTTTGTCATCACCATGACACTGTCGCGAGAAGGTGCTCTCTCAGTCTCTGTAGACGGGGTTGGTGCTGTCATGGTTGTATTTGAGACCGGTGGTGAAGAACCAGGTCAGGCGGTAACTGCTACTACAAAGTAGTACTAGTAGTATGCGGAGGAGTGCAGTCCAAACATTGAAAGCTAACTTTGAGTACGAGTGTTGCCAAGACCGGCAAGAGTCTTGGAATGGAATGCATGATCAGGTGCAGAAGCAATGATGTGTGGGAGAGAAGAGTGTGAGCTGTGTGAGCCTCAGAGGAATGCTGTGCATGCAATGCGTAGGACGTGCGAAGGTCATGCGCAGTTTACGCTCAAGTGAAGAGGTGCAGGCCAGTAGTCTGTCAACAACCAGCTGTTGCTGGCAGGTTCTGCTCGAAAAGCAGAACCATTCAAATGAAAACTTTTGCTTATGACTGACCGGCCTCTTATTCTGCTTCTCTTCTTGATCGGCATAATGATCAAGACTGACATGACAAGAGTAGATCATGTCGGATCAAGAGAATGGGTATTACAAATTCCTGATACACTACCTATATTCTTGATCCGATATGATCAAACATCCGGGCCCGGGCCCGTAAATCCTGGCATACAGAAGCCTTGCTTGGTAGTTATGTAATGGTCTTCGCCGGGTCCGGAAAGCTTAGGGAAGCAAGTGCCATGCACGCTAGCTGCATGCACATCGCTGCGCTTTGTGTCGTACAAATGGGTACCGGTACCGCGGTGCACATGCGTATGCATGGCAAAATCTCGATCGCGCCCGTGATCTTCGCACAGGATTTTACAATTTTGGCGGGTTATTCAAAACACTTCGAACTTACTTACTTCGTCTTGTCAGACGTCACGGCGCTTGTCCAATGCAACACTGAAACCCTGCAAGCTGCCAAAATCACTACACCCAGTACCTCTGGCTACCTCTGCATTGACTTCAAGTTTGTTGTTTCATTTTTCTTTTTCTCGCTGTCGCATTTGAAATTGCTTTGAGCTGAGGTGACTTTGAAGCCAGGGCAAGGCTAAAAAGTAAAGCTGAAGAGTTCTGAGGAGAGATAGGAGTGGTGCTGATCCTCCTCCACGCACTGTATATTTTCATTCATATTTTTTTGTCTAATTCCTGGCGTCTGAGCTCACCCAGAACTCCTGAGGAGTCGGAGCGCTTTGTTGGTCACAATGGACTTGGCTTCGTATGGCCTTGGCGATGCGGAGGAGGAATTTTCCGACGACGGCAAAGGAGATGCCCGTAGCCCAGTGGAAAGTCCGCGACGCAGCTACGCCTTTTGCAGTGATGAAAACCTGGAACAATGCACCGTCTACGTAAACCAGGTCTGTAACCAAAAAATTACCTAATTGTAATATTTCCCTTTCATTTCGGTCAAAGCCCTACTACTAGGGTGATGGAAACATGCTAACAGAGTCCTAGCGTAGATATTCTGTCAAACGGACACACACACACACACACACACACACACACACACACACACACACACACGGGCACATACACGCGCGCATGCACGCAGAAATCTGGAGAAATGAACATTTTCTACAGACGTGCACATCAGGGAGTCGTAGCGCAGATTTAGGCAACACGGGCAACTGTTACAGTCAACTTCGCTAATAACGACTGCGGATATAACGACAGTTCGCGAATAACGACAGAATTTCCATGCCCAGAGCAAAGCCCCATCTAACTGTAACACATATGAGACTTCGGGTATAACGACACTTCGCGAATAAGGACACTTTTCTGATGCCCCGCCGAGTGTCGTTATAAGCGAAGTTGGCTGTACGTTAGGTCATGTGGGCTTTGAGCTGCTGGGGTCGGCTCTCCTTCAGTCGCCCCCCTTGGGCTTTAAGCTGGGGTCGGCTCTCCTTCAGTCGCCCCCCCCCCCCCTTGGTGCAGACCCATTTACATGTATAGAGGTTAGATATGGCATCGATTTGGCCGCGCTTAGGGTGAAGAAGTCTGGTTTACTCTGCTTTACTCTGGTTTACGACCAATATCCACAACAGTAGGTAGACTGCGTGACCGAGCCGTGCGTCTGCAGGACCATGCGTGACCGAGCCGTGCGTCTGCAGGACCATGCGTGACCGTAACACACTTACGTTCCTTTATCATTTGATCTTAGTTACACGCGGCATACCATTGTTCTCTCCCTTGCTGTATACAATATTTAAGTGCGTTGCAGAATATCGCTTCTTCGATGCGATGAGCGTCGAGCGAAAGTCTTTTTCGAATCGTGCTAAGGGTCTTAGATGCACAATGCACGGCACATCGCAGTGAAATCCTGCAGCAGTGAAATCCTGCAGGGCACGCACAGTCCAAAACCGTATGCGAGCTGTCACGTGGGTCTGCCGATGCGCATCGTTCGTCGCTCGTCGCGAAATTGACCCGGGCTCAACTTCCCGCGATGCGACCTGCGACAACCTGCGATGCAACTTTTTGCAGAAAAAAACTCTCGATCGCATCGCTCATTGCATCGCAGAAGTGATATTGTGCGTCGCGCTTTAGGGCGAGGGCGCTCTTGCAAGACTGGGTGTCACATACCCTAACGGCTGATTATTTTATTAATATCAGTTTTCATGAGTGAGCGCTCTCAGCTACCTAGACCTAGCTTAGCCAAGTAGAAAAAAGTGTCCTAAAAGTACTCTAGCTTGGCCAAGTCGGCTGCTGGCTGTGGTGCAAAGTCAGGCGCATACCGTAGTGAGTTTGTGCTCACTTGCTCAAGCTTCGAAAAATGATAAGTTTTACGGCAGCTTCTCTGCACACAGCCGTGTAGCATGTGTGTGCCTAGGCTGGCTTCAAGCTCCTGATCAAGCTACTCACCCAAACACCCCTGATCAAGCTACTCACCCAAACATCCCTGATCACGATGGAGCTTATAAGTTACTGTGACGGGAATATCACCATCACCACTTGGTGCTGTATCTGCCATCTTGGTGTAATCAAGCATGTACAACCTTCAGCTTGCTCTCTCATGAAAACTTATATTACTAAACTAAAATGTCAACACTACTACTAAAATAGTTGATGGTCTGGTGTCAGTCTCTCTAAGTTGGTTGTGTTTCCCAGCACCATTGTATTAGCCGGTGGTAGCGCACATGTACGAACTTCTACGAACTTTACCTCTTATTTTAAATGGTATAGTATGTGTGTGTACACATGTACGTGTGTGTGCGCGCGCGGTGCATTTCCTGCTTGTTGTGTGTTTGTAGGAGCTGTCTTCGCTTGGTTTCAGACCTATTCCGTTGTCTATGGGCGGCAGTGAGGATAAACACGCTGTCGCGGTCACCAGCAGCAGAGGACAGGCTCGTAAACATTGTGTTCTTCTTGTTAATAGTATCTATGAGCTGCTGCAACAGCATCGGCACGACATCACCCTTCTTCAGCAGAAGGACAGCAAGTGAGCGACATTGTACCTTGCTCTGCACGTGTGTGTGTGTGTGTGTGTGTGTGTGTGTGTGTGTGTGTGCGTGCGTGCGTGTGAGTCGGCTGGGAGGGGAGGTCATATATGTGATGTTAAAGGGGAAGTTAAGGCAAAAATTAAATTTCACCAGTTGTAGTCTTCGGGGTGCTGAGTCGAATCGTCTTGGTCCGAGAAAGCTGAGACGCTCCCTTCCTACTTGAATCCCAATCGAACTCGCGCACTTCCACCGAAACTGGGTGAATGCGCCCTACTAGATGGGGATTTGTATGCAAAATGTCACCTGGTCACGCCAGCAGGCGACAACTTTCACACCAAGGTTCAACTCGAGTTCAACTCGAGTGACAGGACTGCACCCAAAAAAGGTCAAACAGGCTAGTAAGTTGTACCCTGCAGGCACGGTGACCAGGTGACTGGTGTACGCAGGAGCAAGTGACCGCTTGCTCAACCATGTTCGATTGGGAATAAAGGAGGAACGCTGCATCGCAGCCTTTTCGGGCCAAAACCAATCGACTCAGCGTCCAAAAGACTACAACATATGGGCCAATCGCGGTCATCTATGCTTTTATAAGAACGAAATGGCGCTTTTAGTGACATTTTGCATACAAATCCCCATCTAGTAGGGCGCAGTCACCCAGTTTCGGTGGAAGTGCGCGAGTTCGATTGGGATTCAAGTAGGAAGGGAGCGTCTCAGCTTCCTCGGACCAAGACCATTCGACTCAGCACCCCGAAGACTACAACTGGTGAAATTTTGATTTTTGCCTTAACTTCCCCTTTAATAAGTGGACCAGCAGTCATGTGACACACGGTCTACGTACGATCCACGTTCCTTCTGTTGCCATGGTGTTGTCCAATCTCAATGTGCTGTTATTCAGAGCTTAGTATGCGTAGAATCAGCAGGTAGTTGAGCTGTTGTTGCTGTTGATTTGCTACTCTTTTGTTTTCCCTCTCCTTACTTTTATTTTTCGCCATGGTTGGCAATCACCCACTCTCTTAACCCTTTATTGGCCGATTAAAATATAAACAAGCCCACGCAATCGCCAAACCTGTACCTAAATTGGACGTAACTTTAGTTTGCACTGGACGAATTCCACGATCTTGGGCATCCTGGAAAGGCCTTGGCGAGAGGAGCGCAATGAGCGTACACTCGACTCCACGGGATGCACTGGCCCAGCGCTGAAAGCCAGGGAAGGCCCACTAGCGCTGGGCTCACGCTCGAGATCTATCTATATCCACCATTTCACTCCTGTTGCGCGTATCAAACTCAACATTTTTCGTAGAGACTCCGGGAACCTGCTTTTGAAGTCGAATCGGTGTAGCCTTGTCAACAGGTGACGTAAGCAGGGAAAATCCCGGTCGTTGACCCACGCATCGCGCTCTGAGCGCAAATTTCCCGGGACCAACATTACGAGTGTTATAACTCTAGAACCGCTCTTTGTATCGCTTCGAAAATTGTTCGAGGCGCCAGCTGAGAGTTTTCTCTTCGACCTACATATTCCGATCTCTCCGAAAGACCGATATTTGACCAAGTTACGATTATTTCAAAATGCCTACCCCATTGAACATCGGTGTGCGATCAATGTATGGGCCGGCCAATAAAGGGTTAATATTGGCCGGTGTTTCCACCGAGTCTTGAGATGTTGTAATAAATATCGTAAATATAGGTAAATCATGCAAACAAATGTTCTTGTTGAAGTATGGAATCTGTGAGATGGAGGTATGGAGGTAAAATCCACAGCTCAAGTGAAGGTCACACTACGGTGCTCTATTGAGTGCTACCACAGTTGCGCTCACTGAAATCCGACCCAATGTGCAAAGCTGGCGCCCTCGACACCCCGGAAGTGGAATGAATGCGGCTGGCCGTATACATATACACGTACAATGATGTAATCGGAACTGGTCCAGGGCGCCAGCTTTGCACTTCGGGTCGGATTTCAATGAGCACAGCTGTACATGTAGTATAGTGTCAGCGTGTTCTAGCGCTTGAACCAGGATAGCCACCACACGCGACTGTGTCCGATTGCGCTGAGTATGGCACTCGCCTGACATTGTCATTTGACTGTTCTCACCGTCAGGCCAATACGGGTGTTGTCCAGCACCACCAGCAGCATATCTACTCTCTCACACTTACTCCATGCTTGTACAGTATAAAGCCTGGCCGTCACCTCCTGGCGTAATGTAAAACGGCTAACTTACTTTAGCTCCGGTGATATTTAGCGATTTTTTTAGCGACAGGAGAGTTTTCGCTAAAGTTTTGCGGCGTCAATCGAAATGTTGGCGCATTGGTCCTGATGTGGAAAACGCTACAAACAATTTCACGCTAGAATTCACCGTTGTACCGCAGCCTTGTTCTACAGTGCAGTGATACTCTTACCTGGTTGCTTATACCACCTCTACTCTCTAGATTGCTTTACTTACCTTTTTCTTTCGCAATGGATCATAAGAGCTCATTTTCCCAGTTTGATATCGGAATGATCGCAACCTGGTGATCGCGTGATCGCGAACCTTGAGTTGCACTAACGCCTTGTTCCACCTTGCTTGTGGCTTTCTTCTATACGGTTGAGTGATCATACTTAGGCGTTGGATGAGATGATGATGCTGTAGAATTGCACCAATCTACCTCAAGCTACTGCATTACCTACAGTACGGTGCAGTGCAGTCCAGTGCTGTTCAGTTGCATACTCTATCCTGCCAAGCTAGATGAGCCCGGAGCTAAAGTTCCAGTATGGCTGCTGTGTTTTCAGAACCTCTTTCTGCGTTCTTTGTATCGATCTGTGTGTGTGTGTGTGTGTTTTACAGGCTACAGCGCCTCGCAAGCGAAATCTCTATCATCCGAACCTCGCAATTCCATTTACGAGTGAGTGCACTTTCGTGTGTGTGTGTGTATGTGCGTGCTTGTGTGCTCTTGTCTGTGTGCGTGTGTGTGCGCGCTCGCGCAAGCATGCATGCATGTGTGTGTATGTTGCAATGCAATGTTTATGAGCACCGTTGGCCTAGTGCCGTATGATCCAGACGTCATGTTATTGGCAAGGCCCATGCAAACCTCTCTTGACTAGCATCCGGTTGTGCTTCTGTACTTGTTGGTACTCAGGAGCAAGTAGAGGCAACGGAGCGGGAAGCAGCGAGCTGTACAGAACGGGAGCGCCAGTGCAGCGTCATCAACAAGTCGCTCAATTCTCAGATCAAAACGCTCAAGGAAGAGGTGAGGGCAGGTCCAAGGTTTGCTTTCAATTTGAATGTTAACCCTTTACCAGCCACAGGGAAAATGTCAAAATCGGTGAACTCCCAGGAATCTCACAAGTGAAACCTGTGCAAATTGGAGTTGATCCGGTCAGTGAAAAGTCCCAAAATTTCATCATTTTGAGTCGTGCTCACTGTGTACCAGTTGCCGCGATCGCGGGCTCGTTTTGCGAGGATTTATTTTTCATCCTACTGGTATTTGGCTATACATGTAATAATGTGGCAACACTCCATTCAAATGCGTTTTTCTCAAGTGCACAGCCGGCTGCGATAGGTCCTTTTTTCGCACCTGGCGGCTTGCATCAGTATCCCCCATATAGTTATTATTTCTGGGGAATATGCAACATAAAAGAATCAACTTAGAGGAGAGAATATAGCACTTCTACAAAGGCTTCTTCTCCAATGAGGTGAAGACTGTTCTTTCTGGACGGTCGTCAATGCTCATTGTATCGTCGGGGTGCTGTTATAGTTCGCTTTTGTACTGTGTTTGTACCTTCATGTGTGTGTTTGTCTGTGTCTATGGTTGTGTGTGCGTGTGTGTGTATGTGTGTGCATGCGTTTGTGTGTGTGTGTGCGCGTGTGTGTGCGCGCGCGTATATGTGGCACTGCCTGCTTAGTTGCGCTACGCAAAGTCTGATCACCAGCACCGAATTGGACAGTTGAACCACGAGAACCGCAAGATCGAACGCGAGCTTGCGCGACTCAAGGAGAAGCTTGCACAGGTAGGCATTGTAAATGCAGACCCTTGCTTAGTTCTCGTATTGCTACCGTCTACGCAACCATATCTCACGCCTTTATGTGCATCAAGGCCCTAGTACTCCCGTACTCTGTGGGTTGTGTGTCTGGGGGAGGGGGGTAGATTGATCACTTGAATAGGTAGCATTATGACACCACCTGGCTGGGATGGCCTGGCTTGCTACTAAGTGGTAAACGTTGTGTTGTCTCTCACGCAAACACTCATGCTCTCTATCCTTACTCTCTCTCTCTCTCTCTCTCTCTCTCTCTCTCTCTATCCTCTCTCTCTCTCTCTCTCTCTCTCTCTCTCTCTCTCTCTCTCTTTCTATCTCTCTCTCTCTCTCTCTCTCTCTCTCTCTCTCTCTCTCTCTCTCTCTCTCTCTCTCTCTCTCTCTCTCTCTCTCTCTCTCTCTCTCTCTCTCTCTCTCACACACACACACACTCACACACACTCTCTCTCTCTCACGTACGCGCGCACACACACACGCACACACACCTACTCACACACACACACACGCACACACACACACATACATACACACACTCACACACTCACTCTCCATGCTCGGCCTATTCTAGCTATACAAGTACCCGTCCTGCACCTTTTCCCCGATGCCCCTGACTCTCTCCGCATGTTTTCCTTCTTCCTTTCTCAACCCTTCCCTATCTCCTCTCTCTTACTCTCTCGCTTCTCTTTCTCCTTCTGTCTTCCTCTGTTTCTGTCATGGCCGCTCTGTGTCTTGCTGTCCCCCGTTGTTAAAGGAAGGTGCAGCAGCCACAGCAGCAGCGAAATCTGCGCCATTTCTCCTAGCGAACGTTCGTATAGCCCTGGTGGCATTGATGAAGTGCTACAGCGTTGTTCTGTGTGTGTTTTTCATGTGTTGTGGCTTGCTGCGGTCGTGTCCGCCCCCACAGTCCACACAGCGCGCCGGCGGGCAGTCGAGTCAGCTCGGTGTGCTCAACAACCTGGAGCGCAGCGATCGCAAGCGCGCCTCTTGGTCCAAGGCTACGGCGTAAGCTGCTGCTCATTGTGTGTGTGTGTCTGTGTGTGCGTGTGTGTGTCCATGTGTCCATATGTAGTAAGTTGTATCTGTGGGTGGTCAGGTGGTGACTGGCTCTGCAGTCTGCACTGTGGATTCTGGAATCCACACACGCACCGGATATCTGACAGTGTGCTAATTGTCAATGTTGTGGCGTCTTCTTCATGGCAGGCACCTGACGGCAGATGTACACGAGACAGCTTTCTTTTCCAGATTCCAAGGCACCGTGGAGAACTGGCCGGAGTTGCTTCCAGTTATAGTTGTTTTCATGCCTTAGGAATAACATGCATCGGTTACCCTGCATCCACACTAACTCTGTGTATGTGCGTGTGTTCTTGCGCGTGTGTGTGTGTGTTTTTGTGTGTGCACTGTTTCTTTTAGTGCTCATGAAGTGGATCTCTACCAGAAGATTGTTGTCCAGCATGAGACTCGTCAGCAGGTGAGAGAGAAAGGGAGAGAGAGAGAGACAGAGAGACACAGAGAGAGAGAGAGAGAGACAGAGAGGGAGAGAGACAGAGAGGGAGAGAGACAGAGAGAGACAGAGAGAGAGAGAGAGAGAGAGAGAGAGACAGAGACAGAGACAGAGAGAGAGAGAGAGAGAGGGGGGGGGGGGGGGGAGGGAGAGAGGGAGGGAGGGAGGGAGGGAGAGAGAAAGAGAGATTAAGAGTGGGTGTGGGACCGGGGAAGCTTTGCAGTACTAATTGCTGACCCATGTCAGGCAGTCAGCCTCTCGGAGGAATGTTTCACACAACCTTTTAGCAAATTACATAAACGCATAGCGGTTTGTGCGAGTGATGTCCAGTGTACTGGCGAGACATCAGTAATATTCTACACATAGACAAGACTCTGCTGCTGTGTCAAGATGTTTGCCAGAACATCAGGAATCAGTCAAGTCCCATGGTTGGAGTGCAGGCTGGTTACATATTTGCCGACAGGGCCAACTTTGAGGAGCACACCGACATGAAACACGCATTTTTTGTCGTTCTGTTGTTGATTTTCCCACTTTGGTTGAAGGAGCTTATTTCTGAGAATGCTGAGCTGCGGGAGATGTTGACAGGAATGCAACAGGAGATTGCGTCCGTCTTGCGGCTCCGACACATACCTATTATGCCTGAGGTGAGTGATCACTGTGTGTCTGTCTGTCCGTCTGTCTGTCTGTCTGTGTGTGGTGGCGGTGATGCATTTTGTCAAGAGTACATATCCCCCGCCCCAGAGTGTGCAACGCCTGATCCAGCTCTGCATACAGTCTTGGTCGAGCGTAATCGGATCTTCTGATGTCATGCGTCCGCTCCACACCAGCGCAAGGCCGGTCTCGAGGCAGGGCACCGTTGTTTTTGATCGGAGAGTCCTGGCAACTCCCCGGGCCCCCTCAGATCTAGTACGGTAGTATGACATCAGAAGATCCGACTATGCTCGACTAAGACCCTATGCAGAGCTGGATCAGGCGTTGCACACTCTGGGGGTTATGTACTCTTGATTTTGTAATAATCAGAACACCTGCTCTCACAGGACGGGTTACATCTTGCGTCCTGGGTGTTCGTAATTGATAGTTAACCCTTTCAGTGCCAGAGCACTTACTACACAGTTGGCCACTACACGCACTATTCCCACTGGGCACTAAAAATATCGCCATTTCACTCACCAGTAACGGATTCTCATCATCTTAGGCTCTCTGGAAAGCTGAGGATCTCCCCTGTCGATCCATGATGCTCAGTGTTCTGTAGGTGCAGGAGAGCGGCCTACGAACACTCCGAAAGCTGCTCCATTGCGCCTTTGTAGTGCTATTCTACACTCAGCGACAATTTCTTTCGATTTGCAGCTCATACTCAACGTACAGCGACGATTCAAACACCAGCAGAATCAGGCTGTTCTAGCACTGAGTTTGGTGTACGTCACGCATGGGCTGTTCCCCGGGGAAATCCCCGTAACCAAACACCTTGTCAACTTTTGCATGCAGTGTGTCACAGTCACACGCTTGAAATTTGACATTCACCCGTTTCCCGAACTTCGAGCTTCGGCGCTCGAGTATTTTACTTCGCGCTATATCGAATAATACATCGTTGGAAAGCTGTGTTCAATAGCTTTCCAATGAGTCGTCATTGGTTGAATTTGAAGTAGGGAGACCGAAGTTATAGCTGTTTGTACAGTGGTCTATGCTCGTTTCTATATGCCTCGTGTGCGGGACGAGTTATCTCGTCCTTGGCCATTCAGGGTGGTTGTTTCAGGACGAGTTATCTCGTCCTTGGCCATTCAGGGTGGTTGTTTCAGGACGAGTTATCTCGTCCTTGGCACTGAAAGGGTTAAGCCTGGACTTTTAGGCCTGCACCGTAGAACGGTCTCTGCTGGGATGACAGCTACACCATAGCTCAGTGGTTAGAGTATCGCTGGCCTCAAGTGAAGGTCCCTGGTTCGAGTCCTGGTGGTGACAGTCAAATTATTTTCAGACTTTTCGCGTTTGCATCTTTCCCTCAAACCAGTGGATAGCCTGCACTGTGTGCGTATCATTCGCGTGTCTTTCCGCTCTCGTTGGCTGATTACAGAGTGCCGCTAGTTCAACTGCTGATGCAGAGCCTATGGATACTTCCATCAGCAGCCGCGGTTCTTCTTCCATGGGTGCAGAGTCGCCAGAGAAGCAGACACCACACCTGCCCCATGCCGGCTTTTTGCAAGGTATATGTGTGTGTGCGCACTGTTCTTGTTGTGCTTGTCCTGTGCGTGTGTCTGTGCATTGATGGTCCATTGTGTGCGTGCGTGTGCATTGTTCTGTGTATTTGTCTGCGTACTGGTGCTCAGGTGGGAGAGTGTGTGTGTGTGGGGGGGGGGGGGGGGGGGTAGTAACCTAGGCCGTTCTTATTTTCCATATGCTACGAATAAGAACGGCCACTGTCTATGGACGTAATGGTCTACAGTCTGACCTCGCATAACCGCACACATCCGTTTCCCTCAACAATATCCGGGTAGGCTAGGGAGTGGGATAATCGAACACACATACTGTATGTATGCGTGACATATGCTGTGAATCGGTAACCGCCGTTTTTTGTCCGGATGGCGAGGGATCCGGATAAGCGAGGTCTTGACTGTATTTGCAGTCGAATCAAGAGTATAGTGATTTGGGCACTAGTACAGTGTGTTTGGTGACATCATAACCTGGTTGGTCTTCGCCACCAAACAGACCACCTGTATGGCAAGAACTCGATGAAACCCTTTTTTTGTATTCATCTGTTTTGCTGGTGTTTGCTAATGTGCACCCAGGGATCGATTTACTTTGATTTTTTTGCATAGCAGTCACTGCTACACAGTTTTACAATTGACTAGCAACTCCCAGTATTGATTAGCAGTTTTCCTTCATCAAAAGTTTACATGTATATCTGTACAATAGCAGGATTTTGTACAGAAGAGAACAATAGCTGCAGTTGCTATTTGCTTTTCCAAACGAACGGTTGACCTGAATATTTTACGTTAGGGTTTTCGCTTGGGCTTGTTACATGTTCAGCGTCCACCCGACTTCGAGTTCTTCACAACAAAATGTCCTTCAACAGGGCAGTTCCACTGATTCGTTCCACAAAGAAAGCTCAGGAAAGCGTCCAAACGATCGTGACACTTCGTTGAAAGCGCACAGAATTTTCGCTGTTCTTCATCGAAACGAATCGACACTCCTGGCGCGTCCAGTTCTTTTTCCCGATTCTGGAGAGTGATCAGATTCACTGACATGTTGGCTACATGATACTAAGAACCATCTACTTCAACTGTGTCTTGTCGAACAGAAACAAACTGAATTTATCTTGACAGTGAAAGAAGAAAGGAGAACTACAGCAGTACAGGGAAAGTCGCCGCCCTGTACAAAACTTCAAAAGACTGCAGACTGTGCAGTCTTGTACGACCGGTCGACCAGTGATAGCAGTGGCTAGTGCAGTGTCCAAAATCAAACAGAGCGCGATCCGCGACCCGCGCGCGGACTGAGCAGGACAGGCCAGTTGATTGGAGTAGTAAAATACCGCTCCCTAGTCAGCAGTGTGTACAACAGTCGCATGCAAACTGCACACAAACAGTACAGAATGGTCTTTGTACATACCGGTATGTATGGCCAGTGCATCGCAGTTTGGGGCGATAAAAAACGAAAAGCGAATCGCAGCCAGTGAATTTTGATTCGCAAACTGCGATGCGAACCCGGATAAATCGATCCCTGAGCACCTGTATGTACAGTTGCCCTCGGTGAAATCCCACCCATAGTACGTATTTAGCACGGTCAGCCTGCATGACCCCTTGCCACCCTGGTAGTGGTATGAATACGACTCTACATGCACATATACAAGTACAGTGATGTAATCGGAAACTGGTCCCCCGGGCGACAGCCTAGCACTTTGGGTCGGATGTCAGTGAGCGCAACTGTAGGTGTTTTATCGTCTGATGAGTGTTTTCGAACACGAAACTCCGAGTCACGGGAAAGCTTTTTTGGTCTCTGTTGTTCTGCCTTGTGTAGTCCTCTCTGCCCTTTTTTACGGTATTGAGCACCATTTGCAGCAAGGACCTCAGACACTTTGTGTACATTGTATGTGCGTATGTACTTGTGTGTTTAGATTGTACTATGTGTGTGTACCTGTGTTTAGCTATGGAAGAGTCCCTACTGAATCACTGGCAAGTTCTCAAGCGAGAGCTGGCTAATGTCTCATCGCCCGTAAAGACACCCGTCAGTCGATTGTCGTCCAGCAATGCAGCCTCTTCAAATCCAGTAACACCACGCGGCGTGGAGCTGGAGGCATTGCGCAAGAAGATGTCCAACTACGAGGTGCTATTGGCTGAGAAAGAGCGGGAGTTGCAGGTAGGTCTAAGGAGCCTGTTTCATGGGATGACGCAATACACGTGCATGATCAGACATCTGTGATGGGTGTATCGAACGTGCACTATACAATTTACGTAATCAAGTAGCGTGCTCCACTGCTTGCAGAGTGCTCAGTGCCCATACAGTGCAGAGTCTTCCACACAAGAGAGAGAGAGAGAGAGCGTGTGTGTGTGTGTGGGGGGGGGGGGCTGTGTGTCCTCCCCCCCCCCCCCCCCACACACACACACACTCTGTCTCTCGCTCTCTCTGTCTCTCTCTCTCTCTCTCTCTCTCTCTCTCTCTCTCTCTCTCTCTCTTGTGTTCACTATACATTTTAGACAGATTGCTGTATTGTAATCGACATGTCTCTCTTGGCGCATTTTGCATTCGACTGTGATGGAGAAGTTACTTGATTTTGCAGCGTGGCTTCTACCATCCATCTGTGCTTAGCTGGCTCACTGGTATATATACATGTACTAGTACTTGTTGAGCAACTCACTGATCAACTCACTGATCAACTCACTGACCAACTCACTGACCAACTCACTGACCAACTCACTGACCAACTCACTGATCAACTCACTGACCAACTCACTGACCAACTCACTGACCAACTCACTGACCAACTCACTGATCAACTCACTGATCAACTCACTGACCAACTCACTGACCAACTCACTGACCAACTCACTGATCAACTCACTGACCAACTCACTGACCAACTCACTGACCAACTCACTGACCAACTCACTGACCAACTCACTGACCAACTCACTGATCAACTCACTGACCAACTCACTGACCAACTCACTGACCAACTCACTGACCAACTCACTGATCAACTCACTGATCAACTCACTGATCAACTCACTGATCAACTCACTGACCAACTCACTGACCAACTCACTGACCAACTCACTGATCAACTCACTGACCAACTAACTGACCAACTCACTGAGCAACTCACTCATCTCCTGGGGGATGATGGTACACATACACAAGTAGAGAGGGATACTGTATAACACCTTTATTTCGGTGTAATTTAAATTTCGGTAACTTCGGTACTGATCCTGGATCACCTAATTTAACATTACACCTAAATTTTCCGAAATACCAAAATATGTAAAAATCATGAAAATCACTGTCAAATTAAAAAAATCAACTACATGTGTAGTTGTAACTTACTTGTATACTGGTATACCGGTAGTACATTGTACATACATAACATCAAGAGTACATAACCCCCCAGAGTGTGCAACGCCGATCCAGCTCTGTGTAGGGTCTTGGTCGAGCGGAATCGGATCTTCTGATGTCATGCGTACACTTCACACCAGCGCAAGGCCGGTCTCGAGGCAGGGCACCATTGCTTTTGATCCAAGAGTACCCGCGACTCCCCGGGTTCCCCTCAGATGTGTACGGTATTATGACGCAAAGATCCGATTCCGCTCGACCAAGACCCTATGCAGAGCTGGATCAGGCGTTGCACACTCTGGGGGGTTATGTACTCTTGATAACATGTATGCATATGTGGAGCCTTTTGGCCTTGGCGGAGATATTACTAGTGCAAGAGCGTTTTTTTTTTTTTTTTTTTTTTTTTTTTTTTTGGTGCCATGCATACCGAATTTATCCTTATACCGAAAGGTCAGGGGTTGGCTTTTACCGAAATTTTACAACACCGAAAATAAGGTGATATACAGTATGAGTTCTTGCGCACGCCATGACTTTGAAATCTTCTTTTGTGGCTGCTTTGTGACTTACGGCAGACTCAGTTGGATATGCGGCTAGAGTCGGATGCCAAGCGCCATCGTGGTCTGGTAAGATTGTTGAGCCGTGTGTGTGTTGGGGGGAGGGGGGGGGGGGGGTGTTCTGTGGGTGTGTATGTTGGTGCGCACACGTGTGCTTGCGTGAGGAGGGGGTGCTAAGTGTCGGTTTGGGTTGCATTGCATGGCTTCAGTGGTTCAACATACCCTGCTGTCCCGATAGAATTTAAAGTTGGCAGGATTGTTTTTGGCTGTGGAATGCTCTTCTGATTAGACGTTTGAGGTTTATTCCTCTCCAAAAATGTGCTCCATTACAAAAATCAGCTTTCGGCCGAGTTCGGCATTGATAAATGCCAGTCCGAAGCCAATGGGCAATGGAATTGTTGAGCCTAATTGAGCCTAAACTGCGTTTGACAAAGACCGGATATCAGGTTGATATGTGACTGCACTCACTGGTCTGCACGTGGTCCGCTCAAGTGTCTGCAACATGTCCATTTTCAAACTGGCAAGCCCATGGGCTGCCTGCGATTTTCAAACTCGCAATAAGCCTATCGCGCATTGCCAAATATGGAGTGTATGAGTAAGGCATGTGAGTACGCTGTCGCTGGGATCAGCGATGCACTGTGTTCAACACATCGCCCAACCATACCTAAGTTGTGGGGCGGGCCGTAGGTGATACAGTCAGACCTCGCTTGTCCGGTCCTCTTTTATCCGGATCCCTCGCCATCCGGAAGAAAATCGTTGGTTACCGATTTACAGCATTTGCCATGCATACATACAGTATGTGTGTTGAATGTTCCATTATCCTGTTCCCTCGCCTTTCCGGATATTTTGTGGAAAACGGGTGTGTGCGGTTAAGGTGGCAGACTACCCAAAACTTCGCTGAAAAATCGAATTTGTAAATTCATATTGAGTGCTACGTCAGTTGAAAGAGCATGAATAGCTGCAAATTCTCTGAAAATTGTGTCCCGATCTGACCGGCCGTTCAAGAGTTATGGCCGAAAATGTGCCCTTACAAGGAAAGATTTTTTTGTTGCACGCTGTCATTTGTTGGCAGCACTGTATTTGAATGTGAGCAGACCGTGCGCAACTTGTCGTATCATGGAAACACGTGAAAGTGTGCAGAATTTTGCTCCAAGTCCAAAAAAATCAGGTTTTTGAGCCACGTATTGGGCTGCAGGACTTTTGCCAGCACCCTCGTGACGTTGCAGATATGTGGCTTGATTATTGTACTTGACGTTGATTTAGTGACTTTGGCAAGTTTGAGTCGTGTCAAGAAGTCAGGTAGGATTCAGTACTAGGCAGTAGTGAAACGTGAGTGGTAGTCTTTGCCGGTTTCTGAGGGTATCCTGGGTTTGGTGTGCAGCGCTGTGGAAATGGCTTGCTGTGGAGGTCCCAGCACTGGATGTTGTATCAAAGGTACGACCTCGTAGCACGTGCTAAACCTAAAAAAATTGAAAATTGACTTGGGTCTGTGGGAGTGTGTGAGAGAACGCCCACTCGTTCCGTTGTGACAGATTCCAGGGCCTCGTTGAGGGGCCCTACCCCATCACCCATGGCTGCTTCTGGACTTGTTCTAGGTTTGAGTCCCGCGCACGAAGAGAATGAGCACGAAAATGTGAAAAAATTGTAAATGCATTTGTTTGGCTCCTGGGTGGCTCGCACACCGTGGCACTATGCCGGAAATTTGAGTTTTTCCGGCCTGGAAAGCCTGTCAGTGAGGCGCAAGAACTTGTAAATCATGTCCTGAGGGCCAGCATAGTGGCAGGAGTGTGTGGTCAAAATTTCACTCAAATCCATTGAGAAACACCAAAGTTACGGTCAATTGAATGCCATATGAAATTTATAGGTAGGCTGCCCCCTTAAGCAAGGTCTGACTGTACTAAGACTGTGTTTACATGAGGCGTTTCAAACCGGGTCAGATTTCAACCCGCCATGTCCACAAAATGAATGGCGCGTTTACATGACGCATTGCACTTGACCCGGGTTAAAATTTCGCCCCGGGTTGATTTCAACCCTCCCCCCCAAGGGGAGAGTTGAAATCAACCCGGGTCAAGAAAATCGTATTAACGTACTTCTGTGCGTATCTCGCGCCAGGTTTTGAACAGCACTGCACATGCAAATTTCGCGCGAACGGATTCACGTCACCATACAGGACTCTAGAAGTGGACTTTTGGCGGCATATTAGGATTTGACCCGGGTCAACTGTCTTCATGTAAACGCTCACCTATTTTGTCTATCGTACAGACCTTCAACCCGGGCTGAACTCGACCCGGGTTGAAATTTCCCATGTAAACACAGCCCAACTACGTTTGTTGTGCATGGGGCATATTGCGTGCTGTATTGAACAAAATTTAATGCACATGCAGTCCTTTTTTTGGAATGACACCAATTCATTCTGTCATCTGAGCTCCCATAGCTCAGTTGGTTAGAGCGTCGTGCTAATAACGCGAATGTCGCAGGTTCCAGGCCTGCTGGGAGCATACTCTTTTTTGGAGGGTCTTTTTTAGAATTCATCTTTCAGAGCGCTGATGTAGGCTATCCACGACTACCTGGCTCAGTTTCGTTTTCTTGTCCCTCCTTGATGAAACTGCAACACCAGGTAGTCTTGGGCGTCATGGACATGAGGGCTGATGGGCTGAAAAGTCAGTCACCGCCCTCTCACTTTGTCCTCTCTCTATCTATCTACCTCCCTCCCTTCAGTCTGTCGGTCTCTCTCCCCCTCAGACTTGGTTGGTATTTCTCTCTTCTGATAATTATAAGATCTGTCTTGGCTTGTCTTACTGCCTGTGCATGCAGAGTGCAAGTAAGGTTGCCGAAGCTAGAGATCGCCTGGAAGCCGACCGCATGCTGGTAACAGAGCAGAGACGTCAGCTGGACGACGAGCGTGAGCTCCTGCTTCACGTCGCGCAGGAGATGGACCGAAAGAGAGACGTGAGTGCCTTGCCACGTGCCTCGCACCTCTCTCTCTCTCTCTCTCTCTCTCTCTCTCTCTCTCTCTCTCTCTCCTCTTCTCTCCCCTGGACTTCACCAAATCCCAGTGCCTTGTCACTTGACGTACGTCACCGTTCAGGATTTCTACATCCCAGTCGGTGTGCTATTCTATCAACTGCTCAAGGCTGCTCATTTTAGTCACTGATCAGTCGTCAGCACTGAGTGTTGCCATGTTGAAATACTTGTACACGGCCGAATGCTGCAGCTTACCCTTGTATCTGTGTTTTGTTGTTGGTGTATTTACCACTCTGGTTGTGGGTCTGATATACTCACCTCCCACCTCTTTAGGAGCTGCATCTGCGCCTTGATCTTTGAGGGTGGTGGCGTCTCAGCGGATGCGGAAAATTCGGTCTCCAGCCGAGTTTCACTCGAACCGCGGATCTTTCTCTTTTATTTACTGTATGTTCTGTCTGTTGGTGCAGGAAATGAACCGTGAGATGGCTCGTCCACTGGACAGTGCTCTGCAGCAGGCGCACGAGTTTCTGGACTCGTCGATCTTTGCCCAGTCACGCACCGCCTCGCCTCCACTCTCCTCTCCACCGCAGCCAATCGCGCCGTTCGGCACTCCATCTACTCCGACAAAGACCACCGCTACGGCAATGCGTGCTCCAGACACGCCGCAGAACGAGAGCTTTCTGAACGGCAGGACTCCCGCCAAATCGCTGAAGGCCGCACGTGCGTATCGGAGCATACGCCGCACGCCTCACAATCGATCCGGTATGGTTCAGAGGAGTTTTTTCATTGTGCAATACTTCTTGTGTTCGAGTGTACAGGTGTGTGTGTGGGTCGGTGGGTCTATTCATGCAGGTGTGGGTGTGAGTGTGTGCATGTTTGTGTAAGGTGAGGCGGAGGGTCTATGTGTGTGGGTGTATGTTCGTTGTCCTAGAAACTGTATAGTATACTAGTATTTCAGGTTGTTCAACCGTAGCGCTGTGTATGGATGCATAATGATGCCGGCCTTGTTCTCTTTGAAAGTCGTATGTCCGGGTACATAATGAAGTATTTGATTCACAAATCAGCTCATATATATCAGGTGTTATCTCTGGCTCTCACTGTAACTTATCTCTCTCTCATTTACATTTCTTCCGCTCCATGCACAGCCCTGAATGTGTCGTTTGCTGCCGAGGCATCCCTGCTAGCGTCTGGTTCGTTTGTCCAAGATGACCATGCCGATGCGTCCCAATCTCACCACCATGAGGTGATGATGATGAGCAGCAACAGCCGCTCTGCTCATGGAACTACCGGCAGTGCCCTTGCCACCTCCACTCCGCATCACTCACAGTTCCAAGACGTCTTCCATAGCAGCCACGGCGGCTCTCTGACCTCGTCGCCGCGCCGTGCGCGCTCCAGACACAGCGCTGGCGTCCGTGACACCCCACCACCGCCGTTCTATGCTGGCGGAGGTGGTGGGGTTGATGCTGACCCTATGCAGCAGTCATCCTGCAGTCCCAGCCGACAGCTCGGTGCGTTTGTCAACGACAGCTTCTAGTCACTGCAAACCTGGTCCTGGAGAAAGTCTTGTGTTTCCTCGGTACGCTATAATCGGTGTGCTTTCATGTGCTTGCACGCACACACACCTACACACATACACATTCTGGCGCTGGCGCTCGTAATATCGTAATGCTTTGTTTTCGTCGTTTGTACTCGTTTCGTGCCGTACCTGTTTTGCTATGGATCTGCTTGCCCCGGGCACTTTTGATATTTTCAAGTTTTTAACTGGATGCTCCGTTTTTAAAACACCCCCCTCTCCTACTTGTTTCTTTGCCGTTTGAGTGCGACATTGTATCTGAGCTCACCAGCCCCCCCCCCCCCCCCACCCCCCCCTCTCCCTTCAGGATTTGCCTATTTTCTGTGCTAGCTGGGTATCCGCTACCTTGACTGTTCACCAGTGATGCATTCCCAGCTGGACAGCAAGGTATCTTTTTAAACGTCTTCACAGCACGTTCCTACGGCGCCTATGATTGAAAAATCGATGTAAGCTGCCTCGCTGGCATGTCACATCCGATACTCCAGGGCCCAATTTGTATGGGACAAGTGAACTATTTCATTGAGTTTTGAACTTTTGATCACGAAGCTATTATAATTCTTCGAAAAAAAGAAAGAAAAAAGGAAAATTGTGTTTGTAATGATCTCACGCCTCGTGCACTTCATCGTCTTTTCACGAAGAAAGAAACGGACCCGGTACAAGCTCCATGTTGGCATGTCATGTCAAGCGCTGCCATGCGCTGGCCAAAGTCGTCCCAGCGCCAGGCTGGCAAGTGAAATCGCCTCGTTGAAAGAGCTTTCAGGGATGTCCAAGATTGTGGAAGCCTGCATCATGTACATGCTGTCCCCGGGGAAAATTGCAATTCCGCGGCCGCGTTTTTTTCCCGCGTTTTTTGCGATTTTTTAAAAGACCGCATTTTCCGCGATTTTCCCGCGTTTTTTTGAAGTTTTTTGTTGCACTACACGTACACACAGTGCACTGTTCGGTCAGCAACGTCTCATCGTGGCGGCTTTTTACTCAAATATGACGAGTGCTTACACCAGAGACTTGTAACTGATTGACTTCACTACATACTCACTGAAAATTGCCGCACATCAATATTATTCACCGCATATTTACCGCAAATTCACCGCAAATTATGCCATATTATGCCGCGTTTTTCCCCGCGTTTTTTGCGATTTTTTTCCGCAATTTTCTCCGGGGACAGTAACATGTAGCTGTAGATGAACCATGCGACGTGGACGCTGAGCTACTGATACTTTTACGCGTACATGTATTAAACTGTTGTGGTGTTTCGTTTGCAGGAGTACTGCTCGGCGCCACTGGGTACTAGCCGGTTTCCATGGTGAACCGGTGGACCCTTATGATACAAATTATGGCTAAGAAATCTTCTGTAGCATCCATGCAGCCTAGAGTACATAAAAACAGAGTTTGCAACGGGTAGGGATTTAGTCGGGTAACGGGTTCGAGTATCTTTATCCGGGTAGCACGGGTCCCCTTTCGGGTATTTGTTGACACAGTTTGTACAGTGAGTGTGCACTTGAGTACTTGTGCGACATAGAATGTATATACTACAGAGTAGCACGTCGCCATGCTTGTTACATCCACCGTTGCAAAAACACCATACTCCAACTACCCGATCGGGTTCTCAGGAGCAAATTGCTACCTGACTACCCGATCAAGCTACGGGTAGCACCAAGAGTACATAACCCCTTGGTAGCACGGGTACTAGGGTCCGGCGGATTCTGCCGGCAGAAAAAATTAGCAGAATTCGGTACTTTTTCTGGTAAGTTTCATGCATGTTTGGTATGTGGATAAAAAAAATGGAGCAGAATTCGAGGAATTGCCCGCCATAAGGTTTGTATGATTCGGCCAATTTCACTGCTTTTCGTGCAGAATCCGCCGGTCCCTAACGGGTACCCTATACAGTAAAACCTGTCAAGGCGACCACCTGTCCCAAAAGACCACTGTCACCAGGACCAAGGGATGCTATTTCCAGTCAAACGACCCTGGATAAGGAGACCACCTGGTAATAGAGACCACGTTTTGAAGGTCCTTTGAGCGGTCGTCTTAGACAGGTTTCACTGTACTACTCTTTGACACCCCTATTTGCAACAGGGAGCAATTATTCCAGACCGTTTTCTTGTCACATTCATCAATGCAATAATTATATTAGGCCAAACTAAAGAAGGTGTGTGGTTCGACTAACATGGACATTTTTTTAAGGGCGGGCGGGCGGATTTTTTTTTTAATATATTTTTTAGTACATGTAAATACACTGTACTGCCTTTAGACACCCAGTACATCGGCATTATTACGCAGTGTTATGCCATACAGTCATGTTGTATAAAGGGATCACTGGCTAATACTTTGAAACATTGTGTAGCTCTGGAACGAGAAGAGAATAACTTCAAGCGGTGACTCTGACTGTCCAAATCATCAAGCAAATGAAGAACGATGCGAGTTGAAAGTAAGGCTGCGTTTACACGACAACGATTGAAAACGATTTGCGTTTACACGACAACGAAGTAGGACCTAAATGGAACGAAATCGTTGCGTTTACTACTATCGTTTACACGGCAACGCCCGAAAACGATACCTAAACGGAACGAAATGGAAACGCACTTCAAAGTGTTTTGAAACGTTTTCAAAACGTTTTCAAAACTTTTTCGTTCTCGTGTAAACGGTGAAAACAGTGAAAACGATTGGAAACGGAGCGCGGTCATGGAAACCATTCCGCGCGGGACTATATTTCGCGGGAAATACCTGACCTTTGCGACCACTAGCACGTACCAACTCCAACTAACGTGTTACTTCCCGCCCTTGCGCAAAGCCAGCAAGTGCTAACTCCAGCATGATCGCCCGTTTTCCGTTTTCGTGTGAACGGTTCAAAACGATTTGCCGTTCTCGTGTAAACGGTTTGAAAACGATTCGAGGCCAGCCCGTTTTCGTTCCGTTTCGTTTCGCTTCGTCTCCGTGTAAACGCAGCCTAAGTTCGGGAACTACTTCGAACTCAATCGAAGTACAAATTGTACAATGTACCGGTACATGTATTGCTAGTTTGGTGTCGGCGTGCACGAATACATGGGCTTTTTCCATCGACGCTTCCTGTGCTTGCACACATGGAGCAGCAACTTACCGGTACAGGTGAAATATCGTTCCCAATACACGAGGAAAGTGCAATCTCGTCTGTCCTTCATCCCAAAACAGAAGGCCGTCCTTAATCTGGAACGAGGCAATCACTCTCAACCGGACGGTCACTTCAAAATAAGTCTCGCCAGTCTGCCGGTGGTCGTATCGAGTAGACTCTACTACAGTGTAGTAGTCCATCGGCCAAGTCTCAAAATCGAAAGTGGTGATGCACTGAGCTTCCAACTAAACGCGACCATACCCAGCACGTAGAGAATATATCAGAGAACACTATTCCGTTTGTTGGACGTGCCGAATTCAGTCCAGGGCGTCGATACGAAGCGTTCTTCGTCGCCGAGTTTTTTACTGTGCGCTCCATTTGAGAGTGCGCAGAGTTCTGATCGAGAGTTTTTTGAGCAGATTTTCAAATTTTTGAGGCTGTCAGCTGACAGCTGTCAACCCTAAATGGCACTTAGTATGTGACAGGCAATAGGTTTTGGTGCCTCCGTATGCCTTCTAATAAGTTCTATCTTCCTTCGTTTCACTTCGCTGCTTCGCCCACCACCTCAGGAGATGACAGCGTACCTGCACTAGTCAGCTCTCGCTAACCCTGTCTCTCTTTCTCCGTCTTAGCGCTCGTCATTCGTGTCCTTCTGCTGGGGCGAGCTTGATACTGTTGTGTCGTAGTTTTTAGGCAATAGTGGCTGTTGTTCGCGTGATGATCAGGATTTATGGAGAAAGACGACGACTCGCCAAGTTCCCATGCAGCCACAGACGGCGTAGCAATTCTTACCGCCAACCCTTCGAGCAACGGAACCGGCCTGAGTTGGAAATCGTGTCTGTGTAATTGTGCCACGATACGGATGAAACACACAGGCTCACATGTGACGAGATGAAGATAATCTCAACAGGCTGACGGAAATCCAACAGGCTCACGGGAACGCTGCAGTTATGGTCGGAGACGCGGAGTTATTTAGTCACTGGTAAATGTTGCATCGAGTGCTGTGTGCTCTAACACAATTGTAAAAATCATGAAAAAGCGAAAATAATGCAATGGTGGGGCTGAGTGGTGTTCTGTGGAGGAGACGTCGCTGTCTCAGTATTCAACGCCGGACCCTGTATTTCAAGTCTGTGGTCATGCTCGATCATAAGTTCCTGTATGGCTCCAGTGCCTTCTCAGCATTGTTGGCGGGTAAGCACCTGGATCGTCTCCAAGTACTGCGGCTCTGGTGGCTTGAGGGATGTACGGGTGCTCGCTGTGCACCCCTGCCGGCAATCTGCTAGTGAAGCTTGGTACCTACTGTGTCCGGGAGATTTTCATCCAGAAGCTGATCTTCCTAGGCTGGAGCTGCTGCTAACTCCTGTGCTAGCCCTCAACCACTGGCGCTCCTACTCGGCTCCAGTGTGGGCCATTAACCACCCTGCCCGATTTCGCACTGTTGCTATTCCACACCGTCAGCATTTAACTCTGAGGTCAGACCTTGATCCCTCCCACCATATGCTATCTGTCTGTCTGCCTCTCTCTCACACACAGATGTGCGCGCATACACACAAACACACATGCACACACAGTGACACAAACATACACATAGCCAACTTCTCTGTGTTTGGTGATCATCATCTGTTTTCTGATGTGCAAGCTCACCTCTGATACCGATTACTTCCTTGCTTAGACCCGGTCTGCTATTAGACCAGTCTGCTCTCCCTTCACTCGCTTGTAAATCCTACTTGGAGCAGTAAGGTTGTGTCACTGCTCCTACTGATGTCATTGTTGTGAAAGCAATATCATCGCCATTGGTGGTAATTTTCCACCGTGCATGAATCATTTTAAAACAATCATCATCTATGTGTCACGGCCTAACCATCCTCGTAACTCCCCTCATCGTGACTAGTGCTGTACCGTTGAAACCTACTTTGCTTCAGTGTATATTCGCCCCGGGCAAAGCTCTTCTTTTGTTGCATAGTGATCTGACGCAGTGTGCTATAGCCTGTCGGGTAATATGGATAAGATTAGTACAGTCGGCATCGCGTATCGAGTGACCAGGTACATGTATAAGGATACTAGTACATGTATACCGGCTTAACGATATCGGAACACAAATAGCACTATGTGTGCAATATTCCTTTCTAAGCTCACGCTGTGCGGTGCAGATAGGTCATGTGTCGTTGCCAACTTGCCGCATGTGCATGTGCAGCAGGAAGGCACCACATGTCGACTACTACTTATACTGTACAGCATTGTGTGCTTACATGCATCTACGGCCTTGTGGATGCAATTGAGTCTCACATACATGTACATGAAATATTGCGTGTAGTGCAGCATCAGGTGTTAACATACAGTGGCTAAATATTTTTCTCGCAATAATGACCGTATTCACCACAAGTGTGTTTATGTCCAGAGCCAACTCAAGTCTTGTATTATTTATGACCATGACAACAAGACTTCCGGGCTGAAATTCTTCTATGACAGGCATGAAC